CCCCTCCCCGCCACACACCCAGCTTCACGTAACAATAAATGTAATTGAATTCCTGCAATTGCGTTGCGGGGGGCCCACTGCATTAGAAAAGACGGAAGTGGGGGGGGGGGTGTTTACAACTCAGGTACGAGCAGGTATCGACTTACGAACACAATTCGTTCACGGAGGCCCGTTCGTAAAGTCTGAACACAATAATCTACTTTGACATTTACATGCGCACCAATATCAACCACCCGCAATTACGCGAGTAGCACCTATGAAGGCCGGAACGGTACACGAGGGGGTGGGTGGCCAACACCACGCCCGGCCGCCTTTGTCTCCCCAGTGACGATGTTTACACATCGCACCGGGTACTCATTTGAGGCTGAGTTGACCTAGGGGAGGCCCAGGACCGGTTCAGATAATCGTCACTGGTGTTGGGCGTGAGCGGGAGTCGAACCCGGGTTACCAGGTTCGTAGCGCAGCGTAGCGCTAACCGCTACACCACCGCTTCCCACCACTTTGCCCGCACACACACACAAACACTCACTCCACGCGCGAGGCTGATTCATTCACAAACGCTCAGCCGAACAAAACATAGTGCCGCGGTTCTAACGTACAAATGAGAGTACGCGTTTTGAGTCAAATGTTTAAACGACAACAACTACAACAACATCAAATCTTTCATGGAAGCCGGGTTCGTAAGTGCCGGGTGTTCGTTCGCCGGGCGTTCGTAAGTCGATGACTACCTGTCTAAATAAACGCGTGCAAATAACCTCACGCATTACGTGCACGTTAAATGCGTTCGTTTTATTCACGGCAAATGTCCGGCGGGCGTGCGGGAACAGCCGTCAGTTCCCGTCACCACGATGTTATGACAACTGCCCTCGAACTTGATTAAACACCGTAATGGAATTGGAGAATAAATAAATAAATATCCCACCCGTTTTCATTCTATTACCTCCATCACGATATATTTTCACGAGACCGCCGAGATAAATAAATCATGAGCCAAGAGCTCAAAATAGACGTCGGCTTTTCGGAGCGCGAGATGCTGTTTCATGGTGGACTGTGACGTCTCCTCCGCGTCTATTTTTGCCCACGTCGCTTCGTCTGCTTGACGCGATGGCTAGGTAAGGGGCCGTCCATAAATGACGTCACGCACCTGGGGGGGGGGGAGGGTCAGACATTTGTGACGATGTGCGACGAGGGGGGGGGGGTCGTTGAGAAATGAGACGTCACATCAAAATGCGAAACTTTAAATAAATATAGACAACACGTTCTACTTAATTAAATAGACTTTTTAATAAATGTTTTCTCCTACAACAACAGAGTGCAGCGCCACACTAAATACGCACTACAATGACAATAGTTTAAAGCGATTTGAAGCATGTTTTATTTGGGGGGGGGGGGGGGGGTGCAGAGCTTTGTGACGTCATATTTCAGGGAGGGTCTGACTTTTTGTGACGTCGTGTGACGATGGGGGGGGGGGGGGGTGGTCAAAAATCGTCCAAAATCGAAGTGACGTCATTTATGGACGGCCCCTAGGTAACGTTGCATCGTAAGTGCCTGGGCAGGTACCACACGACAAACTGGGTGGGTTTGGCGAAGGTTTTGCACGCGGGCAGATGTGCAGGTGGTTTTCTCTTCCTGTAACGGTTGACGCTGGAAGTATCTAGATTTGAAGCTTTCGTGACTGCAAGGATTCATACTCTTAGGTTTTTTCGGTAAAGTCACGTAGGTAAAAATAATTATAATAAATGAAAATAACTCACTCTTTGGTTCTTTCGGTAAAGTCACGTATAAAGATAAAATAATACATTAAATAATAGCATAATAGCATAATAGCATGCTATTATTTAATTTATAATAGCATGTTATTATTTAATTTATTATTTATCTTTATACGTGACTTTACCGAAAGAACCAAAGAGTAATTCCTGCAGTCACGAAAGCTCCAAATTAAGATTGAAAATAACTCAATTAAATCACGACGTTTCGGAGGCAACACAAGTCTCCGTCTTCAGGTGGGACCGTCACAGCTAAATTTACTGTATCAAGCGAAGAGAAATACAGATCTTGTCTCTTGGATTTCTCTTCACTTGATACAGTAAATTTAGCTGTGACGGTCCCACCTGAAGATGGAGACTTGTGTTGCCTCCGAAACGTCGTGATTTAATAGAGTTATTTTCTTTATTATTTTTTTATATGTTTTTATTTTTTTACCTACGTGACTTTACCGAAAAAACCTAAGACTGGAAGTATCGTCGGGGAGAAAAAAAAAACATTTGCATCTCCCAGATTAGGTCTCCGTTAAGTGATGCAGACATTTGTCTGTGGGCTCCCGGCCAGCTTTTGACTCTCGCGTAATGAGTGACTTCAAATCCGCGTTGAAGCGCACCTGATTGTTCGTGAGTGCTCAATGCGGGCTCATTGTTGATTCTGTGTATGAGCACGCGAGGTGCGCGACGATGCATCCCATTGGTCGATCTGGAATGGATCGTTACGCTCACGATGCACGCGGAGAGCCAAGCGACATGAGCATTGATTATACTTTGCACTCGACGAAAATTGTACTCCAATAACATGCCAATGTTGAATCTGCGCGAATGGAGCTAACGACACCGCAGAAGAAAATGTGCGAGCTACTGACGCTCGCTGTGGATACATTTGCATTCGTGCCATCGGCACATTGGGATGTGTGCATCGATTACACTGGTCAACACACTTTTTCTGGCATAAGGTATCCCAACGGTTTTAAGGTAATTTTGGGGTGCTGATTCCAAATCTGGCATCAGTTTTTGTCTATCACATCAGGTTTTTGAGATATCAAATATTGCATTTTCAATAAAAACTGCAGAAGAAAAAATATTAAATAAATGTGGATATCTACATAAAATGATATTATAAACACACGATCCTAAAAATACAGCACCATATTTTAACACTAAAGCAGTCACTGACTCGCAACAACTTGCAATCATAAGTGACAGAGTTAATTTCGGGTAAATGAAAATGGGGTATGCCGATAACATAAAAATGAGATGTGATAGAGCAAATCTGAGATCAGATTTGGAATCAGCACCCTGAAATTGGTCTAAAACAGCTGCAAAAGTCCAGGCCAGGAATTTGTTGTTGTTGACCAGTGTAATGTTTCAAGTTATCGCATTTTTAATTCGCATACGCCCATTGTAGTCGGTGAATTGCAATACAAATTATTTACGGCAATTTTCGATATTCAAAGCTGAATCAGTGCCTCCCCACGTATATTTTAGCCACGTGGTTTGTTTGACCGTGCTTCGCTACGCAGGTCAGGCCAGGTTTCACGAAGTTGGGGTGGTGGAGAGGCTGGGGTGGGGGCGGGCATTACCGGTGCAAATAACACTTGCCAATGACTTTAGCCTTGAGTGGGTAACAGCTCAGGCTGCTGGGCTCACGTCTCGATGCAACAGCCACGGTTAAAGCGCTTCCCACATTTACAATTTTCAGGGATTTATTTATTTTCAAGCGCGTTACTTCGGGGATTGAATCGTTCCCTAAGGCAGTTGACAAAACTGAACGCCAATACATGTTGATCTGTCGGAAGAATATTTGTTTATGTGTATCGTCAACAACGTTCCATGAGAGTCATTATTTAGTTACAGGAACATTTCATTTATGGAAGTCACCATGGTATAGTGGGTAGCACACTGGACTTGGAATCCACAAGTTGCTGGATCAATCTCCTGTCCACCCAGGCGTATAAATGTGTACACCACCGTTCGTCGTAAGTGGTGGGGTAAAATGTGGCTACTCCCACCTCTTTCAAGATGTATTGAGGTATGTTTAACTTCTTTAGCGCCGTACGTAGCCAACCGTGATAATATGTGATACGGGGAAAGCATAACATTACACACAAAAATGCAGTTCTAAAGAAAATTCGTTTTCAATGTAGATTTTAAAATGCATAGCTCCAATGGCTTCTTAATACCGCAAGGAAGAGTGTTCCAGGCGGCCGCAGAAGCTCAGATGAAAGTGCGCGATGCAGTGAGACCGTCCTTGTTCGATGGCCTACCAAAAGCCGCTGCGAGGATGACCAGAGTTAGCATGATGGTCTATGCTCCTTGACGAAATCTGGTTCATTTGTGGCAATCAAGACACTTGGTAAGCATGGAAGAGTAGGCCAAATGTCCTCTAGAGGGGCTATCTAAAGCTCTCTCAAGTGGAAACCCTTCTGCCAGCAGTCACATGAGCAAGCAATTTCAGGACTGCACCTTGACCTTGTATATTGCGAAACATTCTTAACACATCAGAGTCACCTAGAGGTTAGAGCAGTATCAGACGGAGCAAGTTTCGTTTAAATACATTAATCCATAAGTGGATCAAAAACTAACAGGATAAATATATGGGTGGCTTTTACGAGCACGGGTCGATTTGTAATGCATTGATTCTTCAATTAATATCGACTCCGAAGCCCATCGTACACCCATCGAATTATGTTTAGTGAGAAACAGCGTTTATCAGTGCTTTCATGAGCGAATTCAGTGGGAACACGTGATTAGACCCTCCTTGCTTAAGTCTTGAAACTCAGTGAGTCTTCCCCGGGGTTATCAAATGTCATGAATAACAATCACCGTTTGGCGGGGACGGACAGGAGTTAATTACCGCTCTGCGGGACTTTATCTGGTTGATAATTTCACTAGACGCGTGCAAGCTGTTTTTATTTCACAGTTAAGTGCACTCCTCCCTCCCCCCTCACCCCCTTCTCCCTGTCCCTTATACCCACTCACTTAAGTTCTTCCTTGTGACAAAGCCCATTGTCACAAATGTCCAGTAGGGGCGGGTAAGAACGTTGAACACCAAACAATGCAAAAACACAACGGGAGTGCAAAGTACAAGAACGGTTCAAACAAATCACTCAAAAAACATTAAAAAAACATATGAAAAATTAAACTAAATCATCCCCATCCTACCAGACAAAAAGTCCCACTGTGGTATTAACCTGAATGTGTCGTCCTAACCGTCCGCACTGTGCTTTGTAGGATCATGGCAAAGGTGGGGATGTACTACGACCTGCGGACACTGAGGGCCGTACGAGTTCTCCGGCCTCTCAAGCTGGTCTCGGGCATTCCAAGTAAGGGTTTTAAAGCCCACCAAATTCACCGCGACAGACCGACGGATTTGTCCGTTTGGGGGTGTGTTCAACCACCACCACACTGCAGGTCGCAAACAACTTCTCTGTCGGCATCTCCTTTGGAATTACCCTACCATTGTCCACTTTCCCCGAGTTATTTTAACCTTGATCAATTCATGACGGGTGGTGACTCTCATCCATTACAGCTTAAAAAATAAAATTTGCACTTCTTTTTTTTCTTACTTTTATTGACGCTGGCCAGGTCGCATTTTGGGAAAATGTGTGCCTGCGCTCTGCGACCGCGATTGACAAGAAAAAAAATACCCTATTGAACACGTAACGCAAATTTAAAGATTCGGTGAGGTCTTTTGCAAAAAATAGGCCACTGCGTGCTGGCATCATGGCACAAATTCGCGGACTACGTCTATTTTTGTTCTTCCGCAAATGACTCGATGAGGATTTCCTCTAGCGAGTATTCACCACCCCAGCCCGTACTGGGGTGCAATTGTAGTAAGCGCCAGTTTCCAGCTTCTCTGTGACTTACTGCCCTAATGAGCGAGGTAGACTGAATGATTCCTTCTCATTGGTAAACTTCCCGACGTTCTAATCTTTCCGTTCAACACCCAGACCGCCGTTGCAAATTAGACGTATCCTCCTCACTTGAGTTCTCACCTCGTTAGACAAAATAAACTTGATGTGCACCCTTGTGTGCGTGTCTGTGTGTGTTTCAGGTCTTCAGGTTGTGTTAAAATCCATCATGAAGGCCATGATCCCGCTGTTACAGATCAGTCTTCTGCTGTTCTTCGCCATTCTCATCTTTGCCATTATCGGGCTGGAGTTTTACATGGGGAAGCTGCACAACACCTGCTTTGATTCCAAGACAAGTGAGTGAAACGCCAGCAACTTCAAGCAGCCCTCTTGCTTATGCACCACCGCTTAAACATTAAAAATCCTCCATGTCCAATGATGCTTCCTCACAGCCTGGCAAGGCCAGTTTCAGGCTGCCTAAGAGTCTTGACTAAAAGTATTGGCAAAGGGCTGGGCTACCTGGGCAGTGGCTGCGACGAGTGGAATTAATTTGCCATGCAATTCCTGTCATCGGCGAAAATAATTGGCGCGTGATATTCGGAAGCTATTTCGCAAAGTATGAGCGAACACTGTGGATAATTGTGGATAATGAGACGCATAAGGCCACATGCAACATGATTTATTTGTGGACTCCTCTATCTAGGTCCCCGTGGATTCACGGGTAATAGGAGTTACGGATAACACTGGTCAACAAAAAAAAACATTATTTTCTGGCCTGGACTTTTGCAGCTGTTTTAGACTAATTTCAGGGTGCTGATTCCAAATCTGATCTCAGATTTGCTCTAAAACTTCTCATTTTAATGCTATCGGCATATCCCATTTTCATTGATTTTACCCGAAATTAACTCTGTCACTTATGATTGCAAGTGGTTGCGAGTCAGTGACTGCTTTAGTGTTAAAATATGGTGCTGTACTTTTTAAGATAGTGTGTTTATAATTTAATTTTATGTAGATATCCACATTTATTTAATATTTTTCTTCTGCAGTTTTTATTGAAAATGCAATATTTGATATCTCAAAAACCTGATGCGATAGACAAAAACTGATGCCAGATTTGGAATAAGCACCCCAAAATTACCTAAAAACCGTTGGAATACCTTATGCCAGAAAAGGTGTGTTGACCAGTGTAATCGGGGGTTGTGGATAATCGGATACTTTTTAAATCCTTTATATTAAGTTCACTTGCTTGCTTGCTTGCGCGCTTACGACCGTGCAAATCTTTCGGTCGTTTTTTAACCCACTTCCCGTGATCCAATCGAGCTGACATTTTGCACACCGACTCGTTGTGCGTGACAATGTATTTTCGTGAAAAAAAATTCCAAAATGTTACACTTTTTAGGAAAAAAAAAATTATTATATTTAATTACCAATTGCTTAATGGTGGCAGGCAATCATCTGACCCATAGGTGGCAGCCATCTCAAGCCAGAGCACGAGAAGACTCTAGCCGCCCGTTTCAAAGACCAATGTGGGCTGGGTTGTGGCCCATTGAACACGCATATAAAGGATTTATAGTGAAAAACTTTGTTTTTATGGGTTAATTTTTTTCTTATCCCCGTGTTTCCACACAGACGAACCGGACCCGAAGAATGAGAAGCCGTGTCTGAACGATTCCTCAGGCTTCGTGTGTCCCAACGACACGGTGTGCCGGGGCCACTGGGAAGGCCCCAACTACGGCATCACTCAGTTTGACAACATCCTGTACGCAGTGCTCACCGTCTTCCAGTGCATCACCATGGAGGGCTGGACCGACATCCTCTACAACGTGAGGGTTTCTTCTACTTGCTGCTGCTCTCCGTTTGGGTGTTGCGTGCGTCTCGAATTGTCCTTTGTCTTATTGTGATGCTGGCCGCTCGCTAGGAAACGGTGATGGAGCCGAGACGCATTTCGCGTCTTTGCCACTCGTCGCAAAGGTTTAGCGGAGGTAGGGCTGAGCCTGGCGGCCGCCCTGGTTAATGCTTGCAGGTGTTTTACCAATAAGCAAAGGCAAAGACAAAGATCCTGCCATATAGCCTTTAAAATACTTGCTGCAAGTGATGTTAGCGAGCACCTATGAAGGCCGACACGGCACACGAGGGAGTGAGTGGTTCGCACCACGCCCGGGCCGCTTTTGTCCCCGTAGTGGCGATGTTTACACACTGCACCAGGTACTCATTTGAGGCTGGGTCGACCTAAGATAATAGTCACTGGTATTGGCCGTGAGCGGGAATCGAACTCGCCTCTCCAGGTTCATAGCGCAGCGCGCTAACCTCCGCACTACCACTCCCCACCTTAAACATATACACACACGTCTGATTCACGGTCATAATAAATGACTCCGTTGGGCTTTTCGTAAAATGGCAGGTCACGTGCGCAGGCATCATAGTCCAAATATGATCAAATTGCTTTTCTAGGAAGTCTACATTCAAAATTGATTTCTTTTGAGCTGCTTTTGGTGTATGGTTCGTTGTCCTTCACCTCATACCTGCGATTAGCACGGTGCGCTTCGTGCGGTGCGACAAAAGGTATGCATACATGCAACGTGGGAAATACTTAACCCCGCCATAGTAATGTGGAAATGCCACGACCTGCTTGAGAACGTTCCCGTCGGGAATGAGCGCCAGCGTCCCGACGCCGGTTTGAGCGGCGGAAAAGACGCGTTCACGTTGCAGGGGCGGGGGGGGGGGCGTTGGGAGAAATGTGATTGATGTCTGAGCGATCATCTTCTCCTCAATCGACCAGACTGCAGGGCGATGGGGAGGCGGAAGATGAGGAGGATGCGGTTGTGAATTCGTTTCTTTGAGAGCTGCAGTTTAGTCAATTGCAACGTTCCTGCCTCCCTCACATCTCTCTCCAGCCGCTCTCCCGCCCGCCCCCCCCCCCCCCCCGCTTTGACCCATCGAGATGAAGCGCAGCGAATGCGTTGCCATCTCGCAGCCCAGGGTGCAGGATGCAAACGCGGCGCCAGCTTTCAACAAACATCTTTTTTTTCTTTTTGCGCCGACGGCTTCGCTAACAGTTTCTCACCTGCCCACCGTGACTTCCCACGGGGGGAGGAAAGGACGGGGGGGGGGGGTTCCCTGATTAATTTCACATCATGGGCGAGAGGTGGGGTCTGCGTGCTAAACACGCACGGGGGAGTGCAGGGGGGCACGAGGTGGGGGGGGGAGCAAACACGCGCGTGCTATGGGATGGACTGGCGCGCGCCTGCCATGACTATCGCTTTACCGCGCTCCTCGGGCAAATAAGCGCAAGGGACTGGGGCTGAATACTGATCAGTGCTATTCAAGTGCGGCGGGGGGGGGGGGGGCTGCAATCCCATTGTGTCTGTATTCACGGCGCCACTGAATTATCCTCGGGGTGATTGCAAATGCAGCAATATCGGGTTTCTCGGTTAAACTGTGCCGTCGCTCCCGATTGCATTGGAGGCGTTAAAATGCATGCCTCGGTCTCTACGATTACATCTCATCTTTGATGATTTTGTTCCGTGCAAAGCCGGGCACTTCTGCAAAACATTTTGTTGCAATGCTCAAATGCTGCATTCGGCATAGGAAATGGCGTCTGCTCGTCACCGTGCTAATGGTTTTGAATGACAGTAATTACGACATTAACGACGGCAGTTGCTTCATTCCGAAATGGATTCTTGCAGTGCCCGGCAATAAAAATGCATTCGTTGGTTGGGATGATGCGCACTGATTTTTTTTTACGTCCTTTGGGCCACAACCACAGACCAGGTCATCTGAATGCCATTGATTATAATGGCCTTGGAGAGGCCGATGTGGGATTGCATAGCAGAAGCCCTCAGGTATATATTTGTCTGCAGGCTCATGACTGCTTAATAAAAGGTGCAGGTCTGCAATTGCTTGTTCATCCCGCTGCTGCAGAAGGGCCTCCACTAGACGAGGTTCTAGACAGCACCTCTCACAAGGTACCTTGGTCTACTCTTCCAGACGTCTTGGAAGAGGTGGAAGTAACTACACTCTGCCCCATCGCACGTGACCTGCTGGTTGACTAACTGTGGTGTCGCCATTGATATCGTTGGGTCAACAGAGGCATAGGGATGAAATTTGCCCATAATTTCAACTTCCATGGTGGGACATTGAACTAGCGACCTGTACATTGCTCGTCAAGGGTACTTACTATTACGCAAAATTGTAAAAAAAACTAATTTACACTGAATGTGCTTCATGTAAAAAAAAGGCAATGGGATGTTATGATTTGGTTGGTCTGGTTAATTTTGTTAGGTGTGGCCTAAGATTATTCATCACCTGAATGTCAACACATTGGAATGATGCTCATCCCGGTTAATTGGTGACCCTGAGTCAGTGAAGGAAGTTCTACATTCTCATGACGGGGCCAGTCGATCCATTGTAACCATGCGTGGGTTTCTCCAGATACTCCTGGATCTCACCCACATGCAGCCAAATTTTGAGAATCAATAAGGCTTTCGTGGGGAAATCATTGGCATTCGTATTATTTTAGCTACATTGTACAGTTTGCCAACACCAGGCATATGGGCAGTGCTGACCTAACTGCTACTCTGTGAACCACGATGGCCGCAATAAGTGCCTTCTAACAGCACTTACCATGAAAGTATAGCCATGCTAAATATGGCTCCTCGTTTAAGTACACACAAAGATCCCCCTGCAGTCACACGGGCTTTTTGTGGAATGTGCCATTAGCGAGCACTTATTAAGGGCGCTGCGGAGCACGTGGCGATGGTGGGGCTAACGCCACGCCACGCTCGGGCGTCTTCATCTTCCCAGTGGAGAATATTTGTTTTTCTCCCCTCATAACACGAGGTATCTCATTTGAGTGTGAGTCGAACTTGGGAAGGCCCAGGACCGGATCAGATATACGCCACTGATGTTATCAGGAAGCGGGATTCGAACTCGGGTCACCAGGTTTGCACGCTCAGTCTTGCACTCCCCCATGTGAGTACATCCAATTACAAAGACAAAGAATCCCCCCCCCCCCACTATAGCCTTAGCAGACTGTTGGGGCAAGGGATTTTAGAAAGCACCTATGAAGGCCTAACACGGTGCACCAGGTATATCATTTAAGGCTGAGCCGACGGAGGGGAGGCCCAGGGTAAGGTCATATATTGTCCATTGTCTATTCGTCACGAGTAACAATGGCTGCAATTATACATATACACACATGCATATTCACATGCACACGCAGACACACAATGGAACAAAGATCGTGGGTTTTTTGTATTCAAATTGGGTTGGACCATGTGAGGGTTCTGATTTCCTGATACCAGTGGGGCTAGAAATGTGTCATTTGAGTAGTACTGACTTGAATGTGCCAGTAAACATGCAATTGTCAAGGCATCTTCATCACCGCACACTCGTATGCCAGTTAGTGTCCTTCCCCGCACCTCCGATTAGCACGTTGACTACGTATGGTGCGAAAGAAGTTGAACTTACATACAGGAGCAATGAGTTGCTGCTACCGGCAATCATTAAGCGCCTGGGTGTGCTTTTTAGAAAAGCTTCCACTTAGATGATGATGATGATGATACTAATTATTATTTACCCAGGCAAGCTTCACCAAGACTCTTTGTGCGGAGTGTCCTGCAATTGGATGTTTCGCAAATGCCATGCATGAGCTTTGGCTTCGTGTCAGAGAGAAAACCGGAGAACCCGTGGAAAAAAACTCACCGTGCATAGAAGGGGCTGGACAGTCAGCTTAGCCATGCCATGGCCACCTCTTAGCCCCATGCCTTTACCACCTGCACAGCCCTCGTGGTGACCCATCAAAGTATTTCTTGCGAATTCAGTAAGCGAAACAGTAAGAGCACCAGACATACAAGACAAATAACAAATTAAATCCCGACATTTGTACGTCAATGTTATATATATATCTGTGAGTGGACGTCGGCCCACGGTAGCCACAGAGCCACGCGACAGGGCAACAACAATCAGTGTGCCCGGCACGCCACCTCTGATGGACTTCACAGCCACCTCTGAAGGACTTCACAGCCACCTCTGATGGACTTCACAGCCACCTCTGACGGACTTCACAGCCACCTCTGACGGACTTCACAGCCACCTCTGATGGACTTCACAGCCACCTCTGACGGACTTCACAGCCACCTCTGACGGACTTCACAGCCACCTCTGACGGACTTCACAGCCACCTCTGATGGACTTCACAGCCACCTCTGATGGACTTCACAGCCACCTCTGATGGACTTCACAGCCACCTCTGACGGACTTCACAGCCACCTCTGATGGACTTTACAGTCACCTCTGATGGACTTCACAGCCACCTCTGATGGACTTCACAGCCACCTCTGATGGACTTCACAGCCACCTCTGATGGACTTCACAGCCACCTCTGACGGACTTCACAGCCACCTCTGATGGACTTCACAGCCACCTCTGAAGGACTTCACAGCCACCTCTGACAGACTTCACAGCCACCTCTGAAGGACTTCACAGCCACATCTGAAGAACTTCACAGCCACCTCTGACGGACTTCACAGCCACCTCTGACGGACTTCACAGCCACCTCTGACGGACTCACAGCTACCTCTGAAGGACTTCACAGCCACCTCTGACGGACTTCACAGCCACCTCTGACGGACTTCACAGCCACCTCTGATGGACTTCACAGCCACCTCTGACGGGCTTCACAGCCACCTCTGACGGACTTCACAGCCACCTCTGATGGACTTCACAGCCACCTCTGATGGACTTCACAGCCACCTCTGATGGAATTCACAGCCACCTCTGACGGAATTCACGGCCACCTCTGACGGACTTCACAGCCACCTCT